GAGGTTTCAGCAGTGTAAGCATCTTTTGCCGAGAACTCTATGGAACCTTGTAGCATAGCCGCTTTGGGCACTCTAGCGTCTGCGGGGGCTGCTGCTTAACTGTTTGCTCAGAGCAGCATGCTAAGGTAATGCCAAGCCGTGTTGTTCCACGGCACGGCACGGCTACATCCCGGAGGGGTAGGCAGTTGCAAGCTCCGTGAAGTCCGTCTTCGGCAGGGCGAACATCACCTGAGCCGAAGGGGCCAAAGCCAAAGGGGCCCTTTAGGGAAGGCCGGACAAGAGCGGAAAGCCGGGTGGGTGGCCAGCAAGGCCAGCACTCCGAAGGCCAGGCCGAAGGCAATGAGGCCTCGGCGAAGAAAAGGAGAAACCAAAGTGCCGAAGGCAAAGAGAGAAGCGAAGAGGAGAAGCGAGGAGAAGAGATGAGAGAAGCGAGACGGCTACTTCTTTGTCCCGGAGATGCAAGCGACGAAGCGCTTTGGACTGTACATCGCCTTCGCATGTGGACCGGGAGCTTTGCCCGCTGCTGAACACTGGGCACGGAGCACGAAGTCGCGAAACGAATGCTCTACTCGACGCAACGGTCTTGTCACCGAAGTGGCTGCACCGTTGGCCTTAATAGCCACTAAAACCTGCAGCCTTGTCAAGTGTGGATCGGCGTCAGCTTGCCCGCTTGAGCCAGCGCATCATGAAGCTCCATCTTCGCGGCGACGACCTGCTATGGCTCAGCGCATGTCTTCATCACATGCGACATACGCCGGCATGCGCGATGCGTCTGCGGTCTGAAATGAAAGAGCTTTGTAGGGCTGCAAACACCGACACGGTATGTGACGACGTCTGGGGGCTGTTCAGCCTGACGAGTGAAAATCCCAACTGCCAAGCCGGAAACAGCGAGAAGGCCGACAAGGCTACTCGGAAACCTCAATGAAGACCCTATGCACCCCCTAGGCCCGACACCGTCGTTACAGTACCGTGCCCAAAACGTGCAGCCTCCCCGGGTGCGGCCACTCCTGCACGCCCCAGGGTGCCGTACCTGCAGAAGGCTCCGGGTGACCGAAGCTCGGCACTCCGAGTCAAGGTCCAAGGGACAGCGGCGGCAAGATCACCACGTTGACAACGCATCCGTCCGAAAGGCCGCAGGCCCTGGTGAAGCCCCCTCTACTCACTCCAGATGGGAACTTTGCTGCCCGGCCTGGCAGTCAACTCGTTCTTCAGAACCTGGACGAAACGCTGGGTCGCGGCCACAAGACCGAACTGAAACGTAAATCCTAAATCCAAGCTTGTCAAGCACTGAACCCCTGAAGCCTTAAGCCTCTCACACCATCACGCGCCGACCTCCGCCCTGCAACGCTTAAAACCCTCGCTTTCTCCGCGTCGCACGCCAAGCGGACCCTGCTTCAACACGCTAAGCCTGCGGCATTCCAGGACCCGCGTGACACTTAGCACTTAGAGAAACGCCCCTGTGCCGAAAGTCTGCAAGCGAAACCTACAGCTCTAGACGTTGGACCCTTCGGGCGCCTCGGCCCCCAAAGCGAGCTTCACTCGATGCGAACTGATCCCCAGCCGTGTGCCCAGAGACATCCGGAGGCCCTCCACGCGACCCTCCCACCTGAGCTCTTTTCAACGTGTTTTTCTTGGGAGGACTTTTGGACAGCCTGCGAGTTGAGGCTTGCAGGCGTTAGATGTGACAGCTGCATCCCGAAGAGTTCAAAGTTGCCCGACGATTGTCAGGAGTTCTGCTATACTCGAGGCACTCGATCTGCAAGGAGAACTCCCGACCGTCCTGGAAGGGTACGAAGCAAAGCATGGTTGTCAGTCAGCTCACGCACCCGGCACCCCTCGCAGTCCATGAGAACTGCTAAGATCTGGATGGACTCGGACGCACCTCGAGCTTTTTCCGCAGAAAAGACTAGAAATCCCACTTCAAGAAAGATGTTGCAGTGCAGCCGCCGGGGGCCCCCCGCGCGTGCTTGGATCCCTTCGAGGCGGCCTTACCTGGGCAGTGGTGGGGGCCGATGCGGGGGGGCTCTGTTGGGTTCTCTGGAGTTTTCTGGTGAAAGACGGGGACGTGGCCCGAGGGAGGTGGAGGCGGCGGAGGCCCTGAGCTCCGGAAGTTAGCGGCTTAGCGGCCAAGGCGACAAAAGATCGGCTGCTGCTTTCCGGTCCTCGGCCCTTGCCCGCGGCCTTGCCCGTCGCACCGTCAGCCATGGCCTCGTTCGCAAAGCGCGCCTCCTTCTTCTAAAGCTTGTAGAATCTAGGACGAGGGAGGCGGGGGGAGGTTCTGGCCCCATGAGGGCCCGGCTTCGACAAGGCCGGAAAGGGTCACGAGAGGCGCCGCTTGAAAGGGCGGTGAGCAGCAGACGGCAGACACAGGCTGAGGCTCACAGGAACAAAGACAACTCAGACCGGCTCTCAGAGCTTCTGCTTCTCTCGGGATCCCGGGCCGTAGCTTCCCCGCCGCATCGCCACCAGGGAAGCCGGGGCGTCCTTGTCCTTCGCCGTGGACCTAGCCCAGGTCAAGGCCCACTCTGAGACACGGCTCCACGACAAGAGCGGGGGCCTGAGATGGATGGCCGCCGGGTAGATGAAAGCCAAGCAAGGGCTGAGGATGGCACCTCTACGACTCCACAAGCCTTCCTCAGACCCTCAGAGTCCGCTGCTCCAAGGGTGCCTTTGACGCCGTTCACCTGCGCCACGTTGCTGAAGATCGTTCCACCCAAGATCGTGGCAGCCACGGCCACGAGGGTGAAGCTCCTGACAGAAGCCACAGATGCATTCCTCCTTCAACTGTAAAAAAAGAGAGAGAGAGAGAGAGAGAGAGAGAGAGAGAGCGACTCCGAGGCTGGCACAGTCGGAAGCTGCTAGATTCGGCGATGCCAAAGCCACTCAGCCTCAGGCGATTGCAAGCTGCGGCATTTGACGGCTGGCGCGTGTTGCCACCATGCCCCGAGCTGCGCACAGGGAGGCGCAGGAGTCGCGGAAGCCGCTGAAGACCAGCGGGTATGTGAAGGCCACGGAGAAGCCCATGCTGAGCCAGGCCAGCATCACCTCTGTATCTGAAACGAATATTCAACACAGGCTGCGAACAAGAACGCCGAGCTGCTTCCGGACCGAAGCCGTAGTTCTTCAGGATGTTGCCCTCCTGAACTGCTGCAGTGGCAGCCCCGCGCTTCGAAGGACCCTCCAGCCCTTCCGCTGTCCGAGTCATAGCCGAACAAGGCGAAGCCGCACATTCCGAACGCCTCGGCTGCTATGCTCGAAATCTAAAACGAACTTCCGTGCCGTCGTGCCCGGATCATCCCGGATCCGGACTGGGTGCCTAGCAACGAAGACAACGAGAGCCAAGCCGTACGCCATGCACACCAGAACGGCGAATTTGGGCACTGACTTCTCCTGGCCGGGGGGGAACTCGAAGCCTAAGCTTTAAGCTTGATGCTCGGAGGACAAGAGGCTGCGGGACCGAAGTGTCTGCGTCTGCGACGCTGAGCCACAGATCGTGGGTTACATCGAGGCCCGAGAATAGCGTCGCGCTGCCGATGCCTCGCTCTGCCGATGCCTTCTCAAGTGGGATGCACTTGAATCGCAAGAGCCTGGTTTTGGAGGGTCGTTCGCCTTCGAGATCGCGCCGCGTCCGTGGAGTCGCTGAGCGAACAGAGAGCGAATCGCCATCGAAATCTCGAGGAGGCTTCCGGAAGCTTCGCAGCTTCGACAGTCGCGAGACTGGGTGCTAGATCGGGAAACATAACGTCCGAGAGGATTGGGAGCTGTGCCGAATTGCCATCAAGGTCCCGGAGTGCCAATGAGTCAGCTTCCCTTGGAAACCTTGCACATCTAGTGCAGTCGGCACCGCTTGAAATTGTTCCACACCCTGCGCAGCCTCACCCCAAAATCCACAATGTCAGACCGGCCGCAAAGCACCATGGACTCTGATGTCCCTCGTGGTGCCAAGCAACCCACCGACTCCTGCAGTTGAGAGTAGAACTTCGGCGCATTGTAGTGGGCCTCAAAGCGGAACAGCCATGGCCATGGGGCCATGGATGCCATGGAATCTTGCTTCGCTGCTTCGCCGCTTCGCTTCTGCTTACGGCTGGGCTCTCGGGCCATGAAGGCCGAGCCAAAGAGCGCCAAGGCCTGGAGTCTGGAGCTTCCAGGAAGAGGAGGAACTTCGGACTCCTCGAAACTTCTGCCGAGGCCAAGGCCTCGAAGAAGTCGAGGCCTCGGTGAGACGAGAGGAGAACGCTTGGACCGGAGGGCGCGGGGGTGGCGTGTGTTGGGCCCGCGGGCAGGAGCCTCCCGTACTACATCTGCATCTGCGCATATCTGCGCACTATACTACACCCCTTGTTTTCGGATGGGTGGCAATAAGCAGTAGAACTAACTGCCTGCCGGGCTGCGCATGGGCGATACGTTGCTCGCCAGCGGTCCATCCGCGCCCCATCGTGCGGAGCTGACGGAGTCCTTCAACAACAAAAGCGAAGAAAGAGAAAGGGAAAGGAGAGCCACAGTGGAGTGAAATACGTCCTTCAAGAGCATCAGAAAGACGTAAGCCGTGGCTGCAAGGCCTCTTTGGATTCTGAAGCGTCACTCTAGTCTCTCGGTCGTCACTCGCCTGCAATGGATGCATATCTCAACGGAGCGAGGTCCTTCATCAAGGACAGGGGCACCTTGAGCACAGTGAAGAAGCGTGACCACGGAAAGCCACAAATGGTTCGAGTTCGACTCGGTTAGGATAGCCACAAAGAAGGCGAAGGTTTACTTCGTTATCTTCGCTTGTCGGCCCCGGGAGGTAACAAGGATGCGGAGCACATGACACTGACAATGGCAACAACAGGCAGGAGGTAGTCCCACGACGGCAAATTCACAAACGGAACCGAGAAAACAGCAGGAGCGATGTCAAAAAGCAGAGTCGGTGAACAGAGAAACTGGCAGTTCCAAAGCAAAACACTGCTCAAGCGAGAAAAATCATGAAAGGATAGCGAACGAGTCGAACTAGTGAAGGTGAAAGGACGACAGACGCCGCGTTTCGATGCAAGCCGATTCGATATCGTTTCCACCCGATCTTGAAACATGAGAAAGTTTCGTTGCATTTCTACTCAACTGCTGCAAAAAAACTTGAAAAGGGTTCTTAAAATTCACTAATCAGTTTACACTGTCGATTCACTGAAAATTGGAAGGCACCCAGAAACGGGCGAAATCTCGTTCACAGCCTTCGAAAACAGCAATACAGCATCACGAGTACAACCTCAGCAATTTTCTTACATCTCATTTGCGCTAGAATCCTGCCAAAATTCGTGTCAACATGCCTGTACAAAACCTAGGACACTGATGTCAGATTGCAAGTGCAATCCTATAAAAAGGCTTCCGACTGCAAATGGACCTATGCACCATCTCGCAACTGCATGTCGAAACCCGTCAGTGCCCGCTCGACCCTCGCCAAGACTGCACATGGCTTGAAGCCGGTCTCGAATGATTGCAAACCACTCGATAGCCACGCAATTGCCATGATCAACAGAGTTGCCCATACGTTATGCTGCTGTGGTAGGTGCCGTTGTCTTGGACGAAGGCAACAGCAACAGCTAGGCCGGTGCATGCTGCTTTGCAGGTGAAGGGGCCAACAGGCAGAGACCGATGATGCAGAGGTCGACGCCACGGCCGTGAAGCCTCGGAGAGGCTCTCTGGAACCTCACTGAGAGCCAAGCGTGTGGGTTCCTGGGGGTTCCTGGCCACTGGGCCACTGGCAGCGGGCAGTCTGGAAGCAATCCTGCCAAGGCCTTTCGAGCACGCCCCGCGACCAAGGCTCCGTGAAAGGTACGCGGCATCTGCCCCCACCCCCAGCAAGTCTCCACCGGCCTTGGAGAAGAAGTCTCCCATCAAGACGCAGTACCTTCGGGAGCGCTTTGGGCAGGTTAATGTGCTACGACGGCGACTTGAAGAAGCCTTAACCTGAATGGAACCAAGGTGCGCAAGGCAGGCCATGCTGTTGTTCATCAGGACTGGGCAAAGACGGCCGTTGTTTAGGTGCGGTGGGTCTTGGGGAGGAGAACGGGCTCTTGGCTCCGGAGAGCCAGGGAACATGCCCTAAACCAACCGAACGGAGCCTGAAACGTCGGCGATCCAGGCATTTTGTTGCCCAAAGCATTTCGCCCAGAGCTCGCCGAAAGTGCTGGCACCGGTCACCTTGCAAGAGGGCAAGCGTCCAGGCGTTTCTTACATGACTATCCGCCGACCCCTGCGGGCGGCGCCCGTGATATCCCGAGAGGTGTCCGCACCCACACCGCTTCCACCGCCTCCACCGCTCTGTTCAAAGAGTCTTTCACCGCTGTATTTGTAGGTGTTTAAAGAGTATGTAAAGGCTGCCAATGTGTGCCCGGACCTCTCCGCGCCCCCACTGCCCCCACCGTCCTCACCGCCCTCACAACCTCCACCACCGCTCTGTTTAAAGATTCCTTCACCGCTGTATTTGTAGGTGTTTAAAGAGTATATAAAAGTATTTAAACCAATGTGTGCCCGGACCCCTCCGCGCCCACACCGCCCCTGTACCGCCACCGCCGCCCTCACCACCCCCACCGCCCTCACTGGCCTCACCTGCCTTTGTAGCACCACCTCCACCGCCCTCACCACCCCCACCGCCCTCACTGCCCTCACCTGCCTTTGTAGCACCACCCCCACTGCCCCCCACCGCCCTCACCACCTCCACCACCGCTCTGTTGAAAGAGATTTCACCGCTGTATTTGTAGGTGTTTTTTTTTTGAATATTCCTCCACTGTGCCCGGACCGCTCTCATTGCCCCCACCGCTTCCGCCGCCCTCACAGCTCTCACCGCCCTCACCACCCCCACCACCTCCACCACTGCCACCACCCCCAGTGTTCTGTCAGGGGAGTTATAACCGCTGTGTTTGTAGGTGTTAAAAAGTATTTAAAGGCACCGCCCTCACCACCCCCGCCACCTTCATCCCCCTCCACCGCTTTCACTGCTCCCACCGTCTCCACCGCTCTCACCGCCCGCTGTATTTGTAGGTGTGGAATGGGAGAAAGAAAAAAGAGGCTGCCAATGTGTGCCCGGACCCCCCGCGCCCCCACCGCCCTTACCGCCCCCACCGCCCTCACCGCCCCCACCGCCCCCACCACCCCCCTCCATTGCTTTCACCGTTCCCACCGTCTCCACCGCTCTCACCGCCCGCTGTATTTGTAGGTGTTTAAAGAGCTCTCACCGCCCGCTGATTTTGTAGGTGTTTAAAGAGTAAAGAGTATTTAAAGGCTGCCAATGTGTGCCCGGACCCCCCCGCGCCCACACCGCCCCCACCGCCCCCACCGCCCCCACCGCCCACACCGCCCACACCGCCCCCACCACCCACACCGCCCTCACCGCCCTCACCAACCACACCACCTTCATCCCCCTCCACCGCTTTCACCGTTCCCACCGTCTCCACCGCTCTGACCGCCCGCTGTATTTGTAGGTGTTTAAAAAGTAAAGAGTATTTAAAGGCTGCCAATGTGTGCCCGGACCCCCCCGCGCCCACACCGCCCCCACCGCCCCCACCGCCCCCACCGCCCACACCGCCCACACCGCCCCCACCGCCCATGCACACCGCCCTCACCGCCCTCACCACCCCCACCACCTTCATCCCCCTCCACCGCTTTCACCGTTCCCACCGTCTCCACCGCTCTCACCGCCCGCTGTATTTGTAGGTGTTGTATTTAAAGGCTGCCAATGTGTGCCCCCCCCGCGCCCCCACCGCCCACACCGCCCCCACCGCCCCCACCGCCCACACCGCCCTCACCGCCCTCACCACCCACCTTCATCCCCCTCCACCGCTTTCACCGTTCCCGCCGTCTCCACCGCTCTCACCGCCCGCTGATTTTGTAGGTGTTTAAAGAGTAAAGAGTATTTAATATATAAGGCTGCCAATGTGTGGCCGGACCCCCCCGCGCCCCCACCGCCCACACCGCCCACACCGCCCCCACCGCCCACACCGCCCTCACCGCCCTCACCGCCCTCACCACCCCCACCACCTTCATCCCCCTCCACCGCCTTCACCGTTCCCGCTGTATTTGTAGGTGTTTATTTAAAGAGGTGTTGAAAGGTATTTAAAGGCTGCCAATGTGTGCCCGGACCCCCCCGCGCCCACACCGCCCCCACCGCCCCCGCCCACACCGCCCACACCGCCCCCACCACCCACACCGCCCTCACCGCCCTCACCAACCACACCACCTTCATCCCCCTCCACCGCTTTCACCGTTCCCACCGTCTCCACCGCTCTGACCGCCCGCTGTATTTGTAGGTGTTCAAAAAGTAAAGAGTATTTAAAGGCTGCCAATGTGTGCCCGGACCTCCCGCGCCCACACCGCCCCAACCGCCTCCCACCGCCCGCTGTATAGATTAAAGAGTAATTAAAGGCTGCCAATGTGTGCCCGGACCCCCCCGCGCCCACACCGTCTCCACCGCTCTCACCGCCCGCTGTATTTGTAGGTGTTTAAAGAGTAAAGAGTATTTAAAGGCTGCCAACCCGGACCCCCCCGCGCCCACACCGCCCCCACCGCCCCCACCGCCCACACCGCCCACACCGCCCCCACCGCCCCCACCGCCCACACCGCCCAACCGCCCCCACCGCCCCCACCGCCCACACCACCTCATCCCTCCAATGATTTCACCGTTCCCACCGTCCTCCCCCCCCACCCCCATTGTAGGTGTTTAAAAGGAGTGAAGACCAGTATTTAAAGGCTTGCAATGTGTGGCCGGGACCCCCAGCGCCCCCACCGCCCCACACCGCCCCCAACCCGCCACCAACGCCCACACCGCCTTCATCACCCCACCTTCATCCCCTCCACGCTTTTCACCGTCCACCGTATTCCACCGCTCTCACCCGACGCTGTATTTTGTAGGTGTTAAAGAGCTGCAATGTGTGCCCGGACCCCACACCCCGCGGCCCACACCTGGCCACAACCGCCACACCGCCCCCCACCCCCGCCCCACCGGCCAACACCGCCCACACCGCCCTCACCGCCCTCACCGCCCTCACCACCCCCAACCCACGTTTCATCCCCCTCCACCGCTTTCACCGTTCCCACCTTCTCCACCGCTCTCACCGCCCGCTGTATTTGTAGGTGTTTAAAGAGTAAAGAGTATTTAAAGGCTGCCAATGTGTGCCCGGACCCCCCCGCGCCCACACCGCCCCCACCGCCCACACCGCCCCCACCGCCCACACCGCCCTCACCGCCCTCACCACCCCCACCACCTTCATCCCCCTCCACCGCTTTCACCGTTCCCACCGTCTCCACCGCTCTCACCGCCCGCTGTATTTGTAGGTGTTTAAAGAGTATATAAGAGTATTTAAAGGCTGCCAATGTGTGCCCGGACCCCCCCCCGCGCCCCCACCGCCCACACCGCCCACACCGCCCCCACCGCCCACACCGCCCTCACCGCCCTCACCACCCCCACCACCTTCATCCCCCTCCACCGCTTTCACCGTTCCCACCGTCTCCACCGCCCGCTGTACTTGTAGGTGTTTAAAGAGTAAAGAGTATTTAAAGGCTGCCAATGTGTGCCCGGACCCACCGCGCCCACACCGCTTACATTGTCCCCACCGCCCACACCGCCCCCACCGCCCACACCGCCTTCACCGCCCTCACCACCCCCACCACCTTCATCCCCCTCCACCGCTTTCACCGTTCCCACCGTCTCCACAGCTCTCACTGCCCGCTGTATTTGTAGGAAAGAGTAAAGAGTATTTAAAGGCTGCCAATGTGTGCCCGGACCCCCCCGCGCCCCCACCGCCCACACCGCCCACACCGCCCCCACCGCCCACACCGCCCTCACCGCCCTCACCACCCCCACCACCTTCATCCCCCTCCTCCGCTTTCACCGTTCCCACCGTCTCCACCGCTCTCACCGCCCGCTGTATTTGTAGGTGTTTAAAGAGTAAAGAGTATTTAAAGGCTGCCAATGTGTGCCCGGACCCCCCCGCGCCCACACCGCCCTCACTACCTTTATTGTCCTCACTGCCCGCCCCGGCCTTGCGATGCGCCGCCGCGCGCGCGCGACTTTTTTGTCGTACCATGTCGTACCATCCCATGGCCACAACTGCACTGGCTCCGTATCTTAAGCATATCGAATACAGCCTTCCGGCTAAACTCGGTTTTGTGCGGATGCCTTTTGCCTCTGAGTCACAAGGTTGCTGAAACATGCGCACACAATGTCCGAGAGCTGAGCACTGCGTCAGTCCGAATACTTCGCCGCATCAGTGATGTGCTCATGCTACTCGTGCCAGTTACAAGACTTGCAGTTGGCTGCTTTCAACACCTGCTGCGTTCCTTGGATAGTCACCTCTCTTCTTTTGGGGTCGGCGGCAGTGGCGGCAGCCCATAAATAATTTAATTACACACCTTGTTTCGGCGATTCGGGTTCAGGGTTTGGTTCTTCTCATCAGGGTTGGGGGCACTCGCTTTCGGAAAGTCTCATCTGGCCTCGCAGCACCAGCCCAGCAGGAAGAAGGTGTAGGCCTGGACGCGCTTTGGGCTCCGACGGATCATTGAAAAACCCGCCCCTTTCCCTCTTCGATTCAGGGCACCAAACTCTAGCTCTAGCACTACTGACCCCGCTAAGATGATCCTGAACTTTCTATCGACCTTGAAGAACCGGTGCGATGATGTTGGCAGGGCCCCAAGGAATCCTGCTCCCCAAAACAACGGGATCTCGGCCAGGAAAGAAACGTGCCCAAACACCAAGATCTTTTCCTTGTCGGAAACACCCCAAAACGAGGGTTCAATGCCCAGGGGCATTGAGGGCTCCGGCCAATGTGATGCCCACCACGTAGGGCGCTAGGCCGGCACCTCGTAAGGCCTCGGAAAGTCTCTGAGAGAACTTGGAGCACTTGGGGAGAGGCTCGAGATTAAACACCGCTGGTTCTTGTTGTGGTTCTCCATATGAACCCAATGAAATTTCAGAGATCTTCGAACCGGGAGCTTCCTACAATGGCGGTTCAGATTTCGGGGTTCAGGCGGTTTGGCTTTGGGGGCTTGCTGTGAGGCCCCGACCACAGGCAGCGAGAGCATGCCGGCGCCGATGATGTTCTTTGCAAGGTTCAGCCTATAACCACTGGAGTCCGAGCCCAAAGCCAGCACTGTCTTCTTGAATGCTGAGCCAAGGGCACCGAGGTGACCAAAGTACTACCATCCTGACGCTGTGGCGAGATCCCTTTCCAATATCTGTTGAGCCCTCTCCGGCCTCCGCTGCCATTGACTGCGTTGAAGCCCCTGGTTCGGGAGCGGCTGCAAGGTAAGGCTCATGCCAAAAGTCATGGGAACAGCCTTGAGCGGCAGCGAGGCCCACGGCAGCTGCAGCGCCTCAGGAGCCCACGCGCGGGCACTTCAAAGCCACTCGGATGGAGTCGAAAGATCAGCCCCTTCGGGGCCTGGGAAAGGCTTGTAGCTCTCTCAGGACACTTTGTATCTCGAAACACCACAATCTTTTTGTCGCTCGCAAAGGCAAAGCTTGCAACATATCCAAAAGCAAGGATTTGCTACGCATCTTTTAGCTGAGAGTGGAGTCGACTGGGAAATGGAGAGGGGAGTAAGTTGGAGTCAGGAGTGGAGTCGAGAGGGGAATGAGTTGGAGTGGAGTGTAATGAAGTACAGTGGATTCGAGAGTAGAATAGGGGTTGCGGGCTGGCAGCGCAGCCGCAGCATCAACCTCTGCCTCTCATCCTCCACTCGCGGAGAGCTGCTCTCATCTCTCTTCAATCGTGGCTCCGGAGCCGCTCTGCACTCGAGGAGCAGCACTCTCTCGCCACCCATACCTGCTTGAAGGGTGTCGAATCTCGAAGCCTCTGGCGGAAGCATCCCTTGTACCGCACGTCAAAAAGCAGGCCGCAAGTGCTCCGTCAAACATGGCACGGCAAAGCTCCCCGAAAGCTTCACCTCACCTCCGCTAAAGAGCTAAATAAAGCCCATATGCTCTGTATCTGAAAGCTACATGTTCCCCCGCTCTAGCAGTGAATGGTCATCTTCAAGCGCATGAGGGATTTGACATTAGCGTTCTCTGTTAGGGCCTTGCGGCAGTAACCGAGTGCCGAGCCAGCTGCTGCAAGACGGCTGGAAGATCCCGGCACCGCCTAGAGCAGCACAGAGGATTTTGAGCTTCGATGTTCTCTTCTGTCCTTTGACTGCGACTCTCCTAGTGTAATGAGTAATGACACCTGAGCCGCAACCTGCGTCAGGCTCTAACAGTCCTGGCCACGACGAAGCGGCCTCACCTTCGAGAAAAGCTCAGGGCAGCGCCGCCAGTGGCTGAGCGTCACCTGCCCGCAACCCACCAAAGCATCGCTGCACGCCTATACACCTTGGAGGCAGCCCGCGACCCAAACAAAGCAAGGGCACCAGCAAAGCACAACCTGAGCACAACTAAATGGACGGGAAGGAAAAGGGGAGGAGGGCCGCTTTTGACGATTCATTTTTTGGTCCGGGGGAAAGAAAATGCTCGATTTCCTCGCAGAGAGCAACATGTCTAGATTCAGTCTAGATTCCATCAGGAGTCTGGGCCATTGTCAAGGCCCAGCAGGGCTCGGAAGAAAAAAAAACTCGCGAGCGCTGCCGTGGGGCCAGGGCCCAACCCCCCTGGCAAGGAACCAGTGCCGGTGCATACTCGGGGCAAGGGGTGTGGACGAGGAAGAGGGGATGGACCGTGACGGCGGCGGCGCAACCGTCATCACAAGGGGGGTTGAGGGCGTGCAACGAAGGCGGGAAAGCGGAGGAGAGGCAGAGGTACACAACCCAATGTTTAAATATCCCACTGCCATCGGGAACCGCCTGCGTGATCAGGCTGCCAGTAGACCATCATCAACACAGCGACCACCTGCGTCCACGGCGCAGGAGCCACGCAACTTCGAAGTGGAGCCCCAGCCAAGCTCTCCGAGGCCCCGACAGCAAGAAGCAGCAGAGAGCGAGGCGAGCGCCGAGCGGCCAAAGGACATCTGCAGTGGGGCGGCAGAGCGGGGGGCACTTGGGCACTTCTATCTCCCCCCCATCCTGCCTTCTCCGCCAGTCTGCGGCGCGGTCCAGAAACCGCCATCGCTGGCGCATCTTCTGCTGGCTTTTTTGAGAATCGGAACGGGACCGTGGTACCCATGGGGACGTGACTGGAGCATGCTGGAGCACGAGTGATGCGATGGGTGGCTCGTGAATCGGCTCAACTCGCAAAGCAAAACGCCCGCGGCAACGATGCGCTTGCAGATGCTTGCAGAGAGCAAGGGAGAGGGCTGCCCTGCAAACCGCCGTGCCTCCGAACCTCTTGGAGCAGGCTCTCCCCTGCCTGTAAGAAGTGAAGTCGCCAGAGTCAGAGACACAGAGAGTCAGATTCGAGCTGCTTTGGCTCTCTCCGCGCACCTCGGCCAGGCCGCCGGAGAACCTGAGCTACAGTAGCCGTGCATAGCACTGCGCGGCACTGCCCCAGAAAGAAAGACAGATGTTCGTCGCCAGCTTCCTGCTGTCCCAGCAGCAGGATCACAGACGGATCCACGAAGCGGCAGCAGTTGATGCATCCGATCGCCAGGTACCTTCTCAGAAAGGCAAGCACAAGAAGCCTCCTGCAGCGAGCACGAGCGCCTCGCGGTTTCTCGTACCAGCTCCTTGGCATAGGCATCGCCCTTCGCAGCGTGAGCAAAGACATCTTCGCAGTCCAAGGCCTGGACAATGGCGCAAGCAAGCAGACGAGTCTCTCCAACTCACACCATTCCAAATGGCATTTCCGAGAGCTCGCAGGCATTATCTTGCGCTGATTTCAAGCGGGACTTCCTGCGCACGCCCGCGTGATGTGTGCACCGAGTTTCAAAACGCTGTCTGCCCCTCTATGGTTGAAGTTGGACGACACACCAACTCCAGGAATCCAGACGAAAGGGCTGTGGCACAGGCTCAGTTCCTAGTAAACGACACAGGCGCCAGTTCAGTCATTCCGCGTGCAATGTCTTCAGAATTCCTTGGTGTGGAGCCATCAGAGAATCTCGTCAGCAGCATCTTATGACAAAGACAGGAGTGGGTATTGTGGACCGAATGCAGGCGTCCCCACAAGAATCCGCAAGACGTGCGTCAGTCTGGTGCCCATGTGCCTCGAGTTTGCTCAGCGATGATTCTGGAACCATCCCCTCCCTGGCACGTGCCACCTGTCTCCAAGAATGGCAAGGGCAAGGACTCGGACATGCAAGGACGCTCCAGGATGCTTTCGAGCCCGTTCTGAGAATTGGGCCACCGCACTGGCGCTTGCATAGCCTTCGAAGATTCCCGCCCTGTCTGAGGTTTCTTTTGGCATGCTCCGCACTAAGAACGTGGGCTTCACTGGGCGCTGAGCTCCCCAGCACACCGCTTCGGCCGAAGTCACGGCCGTCGGGGACGAGGATGGCGTGTCCTGGCCGGCTTCGCAAGCTTCTCAAATTTCTCAAGCTTCGAGTTACTGCGTGAAACGGGCCCTTCGGCCTACTTCACCGGCTTGGCCGCGGCTGCCGCGGAGAAGTCGACCGTCGCATCTGAGAGCCGGCGATGATTCAGCAAGAGGGTAGATTTTCGTGCAGCTTTGGCCAGTTTAGAAAGGTGTCGGTGAACTCTTCATGTTGCAGCGGCCCCCTGCGACTCTAAATGACAACTCGAGGACAAGAACTGCAAGTCCAAACACCCCTCCACGACCCGCTAGCTGCAGTCGGCATACATGATCGCAGCACCGATGCCGGTGCCCAAAGAGAGCAGCACAATCTCAGCGGCAGAGCTCTCAGTTCTGCAAAATTCGCTTCCCGACGCATCGCACGTCGTGTGGGCCTGAGCCTGGGCTCCCGACGTTTTCCAGGCCAACGGCTGCCCCAACCCAGGCCTGGGAGGAGACAAGAACTCCTCAACTCCTCTTCGCCCTCTGCTCTTCGCGCCTCGGCCAGGAGGGCGCTGTTGGTGTCATGCTCCAACGTCACGCGGCAAGTTTCCCAGCCGAGCTCCTGCAGAAAGCCACCGGGGTTCCCTCCGGCGCTGACGTGGCAACAGCTCTCCTGGGAGAGCAGCTTCACCAGCGGCACCTCAAGAAGCTGCTGGCTGCTGGCTGCTGGCGTGCGCGCGCGGTTCCGTCCCGCCCGGCCCGGCCTTGGTCCAACCCTTGAGGTTGGCCGCAGTCACCACCCCCGCAGAGAGGTCCAAGAGCCCCGGTGTGCAGACCTCAGTCTCACAAAGAGAAACGGCGGCTTTCTGCTCCAAAGTGGAGACCTGGGCCTCCGCGCCCCGAGGCTCTGGATGTCCGAGCAAGACCTTCCGGCCTGGCGCAAGGCCTCCTGCGGGGGTGCGGAGGAGTCTGTCTTCCTGTTCCTTTGGGACCCATGGAGCCCTCTCCTTGAGAAGGCCAGAGATGCGCTTGACGATGCGTTCGGGCTGGTGGTCCTCGCCAACAGCCTCGACCCTGCCATAAGCCCAACGTCAGGCTGCAAGATGCTCCTTCTGTCCGTCTTCCAACCAGATCGCCGGTGCGACAGCTTCGTGAGGAGCTGGCCGTCAGCTGAGACCAATCCAACCGCAACCGTGGTCCCGCCCAAGTCCTGGTCCAGGTGAAGACTCAGATGTTCAAGAAGTCAGAAGGGCGTGTCTTTTTTGGGAGCCTACGCACAGCTCGGACCAGAGGCCCCGTCCACGCCCGCAAGCAGCGCGGCGCTGCCTGGCGCCGGCCGCTTCAGCTGCCGCTCGGCCATGACCAAACATAAGCTCTACAGCTTTGACAGCCTAGAATACTAGAAATCGGATCCTCCGCGGTTCTGGTGCTATGAGCAGATGGATCATCAGCGCTGGCCCGTCTTGGCTTTTCGGCATGCGAGTTCTTGCTGAGCCCAGTCGGCTCGAGTTCGACAAACCGAGCGGTTGACACTTGATGATACTTCCGGCAACCACCAGCCCGAAGACCACCCATGGAGAAGAGAAAAGTTTTTTCCCTATCTTGACTCGGGCAGAGTTGCACGTTGCCTGTACAGAATGCCCCGCACCCCAAACCCGAGAAGCCCCACGTGGCGCCAGCCTTACGGCGTAGCGCCAGCCTTTCGCCAGCTCCAAATCTGAGCGCCCTCTACCACTTGGCAGGTCCACAGCCTGTAAAAGCTTGGGTCCTGGGTGGACGCTCACGACGTTGCGCGGCCCAGCCCGTGCTCTCCAACTCCCAAACCTCTGCGTGTGGCGAATGCTCGCCCATTGCGGGCCGCGCAACGTCGGAAAATCCGGGTCTTCACGAGCCGCGTACAGTAGCGGTTGCTACGGTGCTCCCAACGAGGGGAAGCTGGTAAGGGCTCCACTCGAGCATCTGCATGACCAACGTACCAGTGGTAGCTACGTTACCACAGTAGACACATCCCATCTCTATGAGTCTCGGAGTCTCGAGTCGCCATTAAACGATTTGTGATTTGTGGCAGAGCCACTCATTGCTGCCTGAGCTGCTCCTTGCCATGAAAACAAGGCAAGACAGGCATGCTGCATGATGACGACGTACCAATGCCCAGCCGCTCTGAGTCGACGGCACAGTCAGGCGCTCTGATGGCGCCGCAAAGGAGGACAGCCGCGTCGGTCTCCGCGCCTTCAGGGTTCATGATGGGACGAGAGGGGTACCTGGTTTGGGGAGTTTGTTCCGGTCAACTACTCTGACAGTGGGTCTTACCTCAGGTACCCTCCACCTAATCCTCCTCCCTGCAGTCCAAATGTTTGGGGACACCCGCTTTTTGCGTTCGTTATTTTACCTGATTTGTCGGCCTCCCACCCCCCCTCCCAGGCCTCCCCCCCCTCATCCCTGCCTCCCCCCTGTGCCGATACACCCACAAGGAATACTCCTTGTTAGGAGGTGTATGACCAGTTATTCCCTAAGGATCAAAGGGCAGCGCCCTGCACACGGACAGTAGTTGTTTTTGTCTTGCTACGCAAGGAGAGCTTGTCTTGTCTCAATATGGTAAAACCACTGTGAGCCAATGGGCAGCGGAATGTATATGTATGAGCATGCAGCCATTGCTGTAGGTACCTGTTAGAGCTACCCCTTTAAAGGTTTATGGTTTCAAACAGACACTAATTTTCTTTTACCGGAAGCATGGCCGCACATTCACACATATACTATTATGCCCACTGTCACAGTTGCGGAGTCTGGACTCATGATGAAAACAGCATATTATTTAAGCGAGGTATAGCACTGAAGTACACTGCTGAGGACACTCCTTTTGCACACACTCATGCATGTTGGTCAGAGAGATCGTCTGTACAAGATCATGTCTGGTGATATTTTCTACATCGAATTATGCAGCCCTTCACTTTGCTCTTGTTAGAGCTTTGTGAGTCACTGTTGTGAAACTCTGAGATTTTCCTTATCTCAGATTTGGATCCAGATTTGGATCATAGGCTCGAGCGTAGACGTTCGGATGTGGCTCATCCGGGTCTGAGTGATCTTCTTCGGAACTTGAATAAATTCCGAGTAGTCTGTTCTCAGCACTGGTGAAGGCGGCGTCTGCAGTATCATATCCATGGTTGGATGTTGTCGCCTTTGGCTCGGCCTTTGGCGCAGCTTGTGAGCTGACTGGAGTTGCCTTGGCTTTAGCCGGTTGTGGCTGCGTAGCCTTTGCCCGTTCAGCCCTTCTTCTTTCAAGCTGTCCGTCTGAGGACGCCCATGATCTTTCACTTTCATCTCCTGAAGGAGATAAGGCGTGGGCATAAAGGCTATTCCAGTACTGTGCTTCAGAAGGAGTTAGGACTTCTTCATTGTCAGATTCTGACTGGTCTTCCTCAGAGCTTTGGTCGTCAAAGAGTGTCTCGAGGACATTTTTGAGATTGTTATTTCTTCGCTCTATCTCTAGTGAGGAATGGACCAATTGGTTAAAGACTGTCCTTGAGTCCTTCAGTGCTGTTAGAAGGATTTCCACTCTGGATAGAGTAGCTTGGATGGTGTCAAGATGTTCCTTCCTTTCCTCCTTGTCTCTCTGGATAGAGCTTCGCAATGATTGTGCGATTCTGAGGAGGTCTGTGTATTTCGTAAGAGGCATAGTTACCGTTTGATTGTCATGTATGACAGTTGTTTCGTCGCCGCTTAAGTTCCTGAATAGGACTTCCACGACTGGTAGAAATTCCGTGCTCCACGGTTCCTCTTCATCATATGTTTCTACGTGCTGTAGCACGCGTTGTGTAAACTGGCCGGCTGCTTCTACCGTTGCATCGATAGAGCTGACGTGTCTTGCTGCCATGTTTCGGCACGTAACGTTAATTGCCTGGCCTTGAGTGGCTTCGTTAAGTGCAGCGTCTGCATAGGTGCAGAGTCCACTGTTGTGGGCTTCTCTGGCTGCCTTTCGTTGAATGCGCCGATTTTGACCTCCTCTTCTGGTAGGACCTTTTGGTCTCGGAGGATCTGAAGGTACTGTTCCTTTCGCCTTTGGCGGAGGACTCTTAGGTGGAGGTGACATGTTTGCCTTGTTAGGCACTGGTGGCATTGCCTTGGGCGCTGACGACGATGCGGCACTTGAGAGTGCAGATGTACCTTTGGCTTTTGCCGAGGATCCCTTGGGGATCGATGTATAGGTAATCTGCATTGCTTCTTCGGCCATTTGTGCATGCAATGCATCTTTGAATAATTGCGTCATATGAGGAGTGGTACTTGCATCATCGTAGGTCTGGAAGCGCTCAATGTCTCTTTCGGTGCCACGTGGACGTGTATCACCTCTTTGAAAAGGATCGTTCCTGCGAATCTCCGCAACGTGTACTGCATGGAGGCAGTTTTTGCACAGCACCTTCCTGCAAACATCTCTTGCTTGCTTGAGCTGGTAACAGCTGTCTGAGAGATGGTAGACTTCGCTTCGGGAAGTATGCCAGATAGGTCGCAGATCAGTTGTTTCTCCGGAATTGACCCTGTTGGGTCCTAAAGGTTCACGCGTCTGCGGTTCATCCTCGGGTTCGAGGAATGGAACTCTTTGGTTCGCTGCTGCTTTTGATTTTGGTTGTTGTCGCTCCATACATCTGATAGGAGGCCTGGTAATCTGCTTCCACATCCAGTGTAAGCCCATTAGCAGCAGAAACACATTCCACGCGATGCTGAAGACGGATAAGTCCTGCTCACTGGTTAGTGAGTTTGGAAGTGAAGTTTCATCAGTCTTGATAGACTCTGCGTTCGCTCCACCTTGGTTGCGGTGTCCGAACCAGCCCGACAACCCCGCTGCTGTCGCAGCTGTTCTGAGTGCCTTGCCGCTCGGAGCAGACGGTGGACGCGATGCCTTCCTTCTTCTCCTCCGGCTGGAGGATTCGTCCTCTTGTTCCTCTTCATCTCTCTGAGCAGACATCAAGTTTGATGTTTCTCTTTCGTGTTCTTCGATGTCACTTTTTGTTGGTGACGGTTCTTCTTCTAGTCCATCCAGCGCTTCCAAAGACATGTTGAGCTTGTCAACAATATTGGTTCTTTGAGGCCTGGACCTTGATCTTGGTAGATCTTGTTGTGAAGAGGACGATGATTCCTGGTTCCTTCTTGGGGGAGGACCTTCAGGCTCGCTGGGACGTTCAGGCTGTGGCCATTCCCAGAATCTTCCGTATCTGTGATGGCTACCTGATGGTTGCGATCTGTCGTACCAGCTGTTGCCGGATGAGTAAACGAATGAATCTTTGTAACCCCAGTATTCAGCATTACGCTGCTTGAAAGCCTTTCGCTTGTCAGCGATCTTCTGAACCTGGGCATCTGACCGGTTGTGTTTCCCTTTTGTAAGTATTGGTTGTATCGTGAAGCCCAAAGGGCTGTGCCAATCTTTGTCAGAGGGACTCAACCATAGGTCAAGGTTAGAAAAAGTTGAATAGTACTGCTTGACGGAGACAAACAGACGGATATCAATATCCCTGTTATTGTTCATGTCCTGCCACATATCTGAGATTCGCTCCCAGTATGTTCTTTCGGCGGCAGGTGTAACATCTCTGGGACTAGGTGACGCCGTGTGCGGCGTTTTACTCCAGTCAAGGATATAACTGTTGATACAGTCAAGGTCAGCAACTTTCTTCGCCGGGTCCGCCGGTAGACGATCTTCACGTGCCAGTCTGTGCTGGTCGGAGTTGTTCAAGCAAAGATGTCGCACTTGTGAGTGCCTTCCTGCTATTTTGTTGAATGCTGCAAGTTTCTTCTCCAGGTATAGAGAAAACAAACTGTTTCGCGGGTGAACGTCTCCACTTTTTAAGGTGAGCCTCGACGCAATATTATTGAGATCTCCCGCTATTACATCCGGTTTAAAAGGGAGAATCTCGTTGAGGAACGCGTTCACCAGTTCGCGTCTCTGTTCTTCCTTATGAGTCATGAACGAATTGAAATGGACGATCGCGATGGTGATGACCTTGTAATGCCCTTTTGTACACCACATCTCGTCAAGATCGTTCGATGCTTCTTGTGAGAAGATCTCTGCGTATGACTCAAAGTCTTCCTCTGGTGGCTCATCACCCTCGACATGGCCGTTCCATTCACAGAGAACCGGCGAGGGGTCGAGGCTCGACAGTGTCAGGCAAGCCTCTGGTGAGAGGTAAGAGCCATCAGTGGGTCCATCCTTGTCAGGATTTTGCCCTTGAGTGGGTCATATCCGATAATCTGCATGAACTCGTCTCTCGTCATCCTTTGGCCAGAATATGGGTGGACCCATTCTTTTGCCTCCTGGATGGTACTGTGGTACCCAAAGGTGAGGCGGCATACCGCACCGTGGCATGCCCACAGTCG